TTTATGCATGTCCGTTGTATTGCCTTCGGCCTTTGTGGTGTGTTTCTTGTTTTCATGACCTCCCTGCCTACTCTGCTGTGTTGGGTACAGTGATCTCGCTTTGCTGTTGCCTTTGTTTTTGTACGTCTGGCTGTCTGCCCATCTGCCGCCTCTTTGTCCTGTTTGCTCCGTTAATCCCATGCCCTGGTGCGTAGTGCCTGGTGCTGGTACGTTAACCTTTGATTTTTTCTTTGGGCGGGTGTGGCAAGCGTCCTCCTTTGTTTTTGTTTTTGTGTTTCATTTTGATCGGTTTCCGAGGGCTCTTTTCTCGAACGGTCGGTGCGATACCTGTTCTTTTCTTTCTATCATTTTGTTTTCTTGTTCCGAGTGGTTTGTACCCTATTTTTATTTTGTTTCCCCGCGGCGTCGTATGTGCCGGGTTTTGAGACCACGGGCTCCCCTTTTTTTGTGGACTATAGAGCTGATGTGAGAAACAACAAGCAACAACAAATTGTCCTTCTGTACGCGGAAAAATATTATCTGAGTCAGGCCCACCCAAACTTGAAGCGCACCTTTTCAATTTGCAGAGTACAAATCACGCGGTACTCGTACACAAGTCTCCGGTGCGCGCACACACACACTACAAAACGAACGAGAGTACAAGGTAATAGCCTTGGTAGACGCGTCCAGTTTTTTTCTGTTGCTTCTGTTTCTGTCTTTGATCCGAAGGATATGATACTTTAGCCTCCCCATGCTGCCCCCTCAAGGGGTCCCAGTTCATGGCAGATAGAAGTTTTTTGTGTTTTCAACCGCAGTAAGACTGACGTCTTTTCATCGGTCAGCCGGTTGGCGCGGTCGATGCTAACAATAAACACACACACACACGCACCACATATCATTTTCGACAACCACACACACATCTATCTGTGTCTCTGTGGGACATGAGCTCTGTCTAGACCAGCGCGGACCCTCCGAGCGGATCATCGTCGGTCGCTGTGGGAGTAGTCAGAACGCGGGCAGAAGCAGCAGCACAACCACCACCGCCGCCACCACCGCCACCACAACCACCAGAACGCGCGGCGGGAGAAGTAGAGATAGTTGGCGCGGGAGGCAGTGGTGCAGGCGTGCCTGTAATCACAGCGGCAGCGGTCTACAACAAGAACGGAGAGTCGTATGCCGTCAATGCTGCTGTGGTGGATGCAGTTGATGACTTCAAGGTGCCCGAGGGCTATGTGAGGAAAGGGTCCCGCGAGAAGTCGTACATGTACTCGCTAGGAGTGTACATCGAGGCGTGTAAAGGCGACAAACACTAGTCCTACTATTTGGCCGACCACTCGTGCCGCCGCAACAACAAGATTATCCCCTGCAAAGGCGGCGACCTCAGCAACGTCAACTCACACCTCAAGAATGCGTATGGACTGCAGGGGTGGGTGGCATCGTGAAGGAGGGAAAGAAAAAGGCACCAGAAGAGAACATTGTGGCCAACTTCGCAGCGAGCAATGCCTCGGGTGTTGGGACGGACACGTGTGTGTCGTCGGGTGTTTCGTTTTTTGTCACGGTCTGCTTGTGTGTGTACATGAATGTTGTGTGTGTCTACTGCTGTAAGTACTCCGTGAGGAAATCTTACCTGTATGCTACATGTATAGAAGTATGAACCACTGGTGTTGGTATCTCACGCTTGTCCCGCCATTTCGTCCTCTTTGTAGAGTCCGTGAGCTCCTGGCTGTGAAGGGTCGTGGAGAAGTTTTTGCTCATCAGCTTTTTCTCATCTGGCACAACTTGGCGGGATCTCGCCGGGTTGCTCGCTGCCCAAGCCACACCTTTTCCTGTGAAGGACATGCTCGCACACCCTCCATATCCTGTTCTGTGGCACTTGCGATACCCTACAGAACGTTACAGACGAGTTCTGTGGCACTTCCGAGACCCTACCGAATAGTTCTGTGAGATCTGTGGCACTTCCAATACCTTACAGAACACGGCCATGAGTCCTGTGACGTCCCCATACCCTACAGAAAAGGCTGTCAATATTTGTGAACCTACCCGCTGCGATCTGTGGGTGCTGTACGACCTTCGCACAAACCCAATTTTTTCTGTTGAGTTCTGTGGCACTTGCAATACTTACCGGGTAGTTCTGTAAGGTCTGTGACAATTTCAAATACCCTACGGGATAGCTCTGTGAGATCTGTGACACTTCCGATACCCTTCCGGCCACTTCTGTGAGATCTTGTTTTTTTTTTCTCCCACCACTTCGTGAACTCGGCAACCAGGTTACCGGGTTTTTTTTTACCTCCGTTTTTTTTTTTGGCGGTAACCATAATGGTGGTCGAGTAGATCATGTTGTGCGGGGTGGAGAACCCTCACTCCGCGCAAGGGGGATGATCGCACCACGTTGTGTTAAAATGGTCAAGCACCCTCGAGGCAGTTACACAGTGCTTACAACTGTCTCTGGAAGTGAAAGCACCAGAAA